ATGACCTGGGCTGTCTTGGGTATTGTGCAGATGTCGTGTCGCACCCTCGGCCCAATGGTTGGTAGCTACATCCCCCTTGTTCCTTTTTCGCAACTAATTAGAGTTGATTTTCATGTCGGCGAGTACTCTGTCAGCAACCAACTGAGACCCTCAACTGATGACGGGCGCAACATGTGAGCAATTCATCTCCGCCATTTGTGACTGGCTTGACATCTTCAAGCAGTCGAGTGCGACTATAAAAAGACGGACTCATCGCGCTATGGATCAATGCTTGGGATCTCGCAGGACTCACACATTCAAGCTCAAGCTCCAATAAACCCCAAAATTGCCTATTTTATACTACCGTCTCTTCACTTCCTCAAGATGCGCTACACCTCCGCCGAGGTTATCGCCCTAACACTGGCTATTGCCGGCATTGGGACTGGGCTAGATGTCAATCGGGCACTCCAGGCTCGTCATGATACTTGCCCAGAAACCAAGACAGTGACGGAAACTCAAACTATCACCGAGAGAAACACTGTCACTGTCACCACCGCCGGAGCTTGCACCACTGCTACCTCGCCAACAACCACCACGACCACGAGCAAGTCTACTCCTACGCCCACTGGTTGCCCTGTGCCGCCCGCATGCGACAACCTCGGATTCGACTGGGCATACTACAACAACTCAGCCCACAACGGCGACAAGACATACTCCAACTTCCATCCGGATACCTACAAGCGCGTGAAGCCCCTGTACGTCGGCACCACCCGCTACGTCGGGGGTCTTTACGGCGAAAAGGGCGGAAAGGACCCAGCCGGGCGAATATACGGCTCTACCAAGGCCCTCAAGCTCGACTACTTTGCTCTCAACCACCACGCCTACTTCTACGCCTGCGAGGCGGGCACGTACAGCATCAACATCCCGTACGCAAACGACGCCGTGTTCGTATGGACAGGGGAAAAGGCCTACAAGGGCTGGACGGACGACAATGCCGATGCCAAGGCTAGATACAACCAGCCCGATCACATCGCGGGCCAGGCTAGCTTCAAGGTCAATGTTCCAGCCGACACCTACGTGCCTATTCGGTTTGTCTACGGGCAAGCGCAGTACGGGGGCGGGTTTTATTTCACCGTCACTACTCCTTCTGGCCAGGTCATCGTCAGTGACAAGGCGCATAATAGTCCGTATGTCGTGCGCCACTCTTGCGATGGGGTGAAGGCGCCAAAATACTTGCCATTTGGAAAAGAGCAGTAGTAGCTTCCAGTAGGGCTTTGTATACCAGAGTTTTGGAAGGATGCTTTAATTAAAGTATTTTTTTTTAAAGGACTCTTCTCTTATAGTGCACTTGGGTAGGACGGTTTAGAAGGTCGTGTAACAGAAGTATTATTTATAAACGAGGTCATCCCGAGTTCTAACTGGTTGTCAATGCATTTCTGTGCGTCAGATCGGCCAGGCACCTCTCGTCGAGCCCTGTCGGTAAATCGAGTCTAGTCTCAAACCAGGGGATATTTTCTCAGGCGTCACCTTGGTCTGTGAGGACCGAGCGAGCACTGCTTATGCCAACCAATGCCGCAAAAACTATATTGAGGTACTTCATTGTAATAAATGATTGACTTTGAGATGGCTTTTACATGATGCGAAGAGAGTGTGACTGGTAAAGGGGAATATGATTAGAGTCGGATACGGCTTTATATGCAACGATTGATTTCTCGCCACCCATGGCCCCGAGGTAATTAAGACCGCGTGTAGTTGACACTTGTCAGGGGCCGCGGTATAGAACGAAGGAGTCAAGCAGGACCCTGATTTTGAGACTGGCATTTAACTGATGTGGGTTGGTTACGTAAAGTCGTCTGATCTCGTCAACTGTTATAATTCCATGTTACCGCATAGAAGTAGGTAGAATTTGTGTATAAGGTATTTTGATTAAATAATCGTAAGCAAGTTACGTGGCCTGGAGGGCTGGAGCTGGGAATGCAAGAGCATTCATTTAAGCTTTCCTTTGTTCGGAGTATTTAAGTATTAAGACATTTGAGATGAGTGTTTTCATAAGGCTAATGACAAGTCGACGTTGTACTGTAATCTACATGTGGTGATAACATGCAGCAAAATTGATTTCAACGACCAGGACCAATCATATACCCAAATGTAGCAACAACCAAAGCCAGGCCCAACAAAGACGGGGGATACCACATACTCTCGGCCACCGATAGTTTCCTTGAGACGCTGTCAACCAAATCTTCAATAAAAAGAAATATATTGTGAGCCTTTTTTCATAGAAGTTTGGAACTTTAAAACTAGAATACACCCTGCTTGCTCGCCAAAATAAACATACCAAGTTGCTTGACAAATTGAACCGACGTGGCTGAACGGAGCCTTAGAACACCGTTATGCTCTTCGTCAGCCGCGAGAGAGCCGATTCTTAAGTAGGCTTGCCTGGACAGTTGTGGTCTCCTCCAGTGGTTTTTATCCACTGGTCGCAGACGGAGCATCTCTTGGCCATGTTGACTTTGATAATATTGATGTTGGATAATTATTGGAGTAGCTGGTGAAGATGTAGAAGATGAAGTCGTAGATGAAATGCAGAATGGAGATGCAGACCTGTTCTCCTTATATACCCAAGTCCCCACGGCGGCAGGGCAACGTATACCGACCAACCTGCATCTTAGTCGCCGAGAAGCTAATGTGCTGTCTGATATTGTCAAATTTGGCTGGTTTATTCGTAGTCATTGGCGTAGCGCCCTGCCGGCAGTGGCCGTGCTGGTCATGTTCCAACTTTCCCATTTCGTTGGATCATGGAGGTTGACTCCATGATCCCGTACTGACCAGAGCGGGCTTACACATTTTAACAAATCCACTCGGCGCGTAGTGGGGAGACTCTATTGGTTCATTGGTCGCCGAATTGTCTGAAGCTATGATGCCCGAAATGTTGGACGTGGAATCTAGCTCTTTCAACGACTCAGCTTCAACTCCAGTTCTTTCCCATCACTTCCAAATTCTATACCCATGAACCTTTGCACATACATTTCATAAGTACCGCGACTGAGATTATGAATCCGTATACAACGAACCCGAAACACATTCCTGAATCTGATCTGTATGCCGATATACCGCTCTATGGCAGGTACTCTCCGAGACCGGACGACTTCCGAGTCGATGTCCAGCACATCAACTCTAGCTCTCAAGAGTCTATACAATATTGGGCTACAGTAATTGGACTCTGTACGGAATCAAACATGATTTTTCCCGCAGATGAAGGTCGAGATGTTTTTGCCCTTGGTAGTGTCATTGTGAAATCAAGCCACCGACACCAACATGAGAAAATCGACTACTCATACGCCGATGCCAATGAAGTCCAGGCAATTACTATCGCTAAAAGCGTCCTAGATGGGATCAAGGTGCCCGATATCTATTTTTCTGGCAAGGTACAGCTCTTATAAACCACTTGGGGATAATTCTTTCTTACGCTACTTTAGATCAACGGTCGCGCGGTGTTGATCCAAGAGAGAATTCCCGGTGTATGTCTAAACGTTGCGTTGCCGTACTTGTCAGAGGTCCAAAAAAATTCCTTCAAATTACAAGCACGGGAGATTCTCCGACAGTTACATGCTATCAAAGCGCCGAGTAGCCGTGAGACGCGTGATCATATCGTTCCCGATCCGAATATCCTGCCCAGTGGTCGCTTAAACCCTCGAGAGGCACACATTCTCTTCTCAGCAAACATTGACCAAGATATGAGCTTTATGCATAACGACTTTACGCCATCTAACTGCATCGTTAACGACGACAAGATTGTCGGACTTATTGACTGGGAAATGGCTGGTTATCTGGGGTGGAAAACGGCTGGAGAAATCCACCGAAAAATTAGATCTCCCCGGAGAGAACAGTATGTCCATGCCAACTTGGATGAGGGGGAGCTTCAAGATATGATGTGGTGGAATGATCTTTACGACGTGCTACCTTGAGCTTCAGAGCATGTGACGTGTTTTATTTTGCAGGGAATATTCGTATGTAACCCTCTTTCTGCTTTCTCCTAGGGAATGTCTGACCTCCGTGGCATGGACAGTACACCCCCAATGCATCCAAACGCTACCAATTGCGGAAGCAAAGGAAATATCTCGCAAGGGCGGGGGAAATATCGGAACTAAACAAGGGCAATTGGCGTTGGGAAAGCTACTCAGGACTCAGATTTCCAAACCCATGAATAGAAAGAAAACAAAAAGATGTACAGATCTGCTTAATACTATTGCACAAGTTTCAAATACTGCCAAGTACTGGGACGGCAACTGGGCCAACCGTATAAGGGCAAAAGTTTGATTGCACCAACGGAAGCACAGCACGAAACGACTGTGCTTGATCACAATGCCAGACGAGGAGACGGAAGCTTATCGACCGAGATGATTCAATCAGCAACGATCTTGATGCCTCCAGCTTGCCTCCAGCTTATCCGTGGGCTCTGGGGTGGTGTTAGGTAGTGAATTTCAACTTGCATGGATCCTGGAAACCCTAAAACCCGGCACACATCAGGAGTTGGTCGACAACAGTGCTGCCACATTGTCCATGACATCTTAGTTGTGACAAGGGGCCAGGAGCGACATCCATCTGGCGCTTGTGGTGTGACTTTCAGGACCGCATGGGTGGTACGGACGGTACTATTCACGATCACTTCTACATGTCCCATAGCACATACATAAATCTCGAATGGGCTCAAAGCCATCACATGAATTATGCACTCCAGCAGTGTTGTTTGTATGAACTGGTATTGCCTATGGAGGCAGCAGCCATGAGAGACTCTCGCGCCGAGCCCCTTTCGCTACCGCATAGGGAGATATATACTGGCCACCAATTTGTATTCAGCCCACTGTGCAACGACATCTTCATCACCACAAGCGTATCCACAAAAGAAAATACAAATGAAGGTTCTGGCTTTCCCTGCTCCCCTTGCCCATAGGCCAATTCACTGCATGAGACATGGTGGATAGACATTGGCACATCTCGTGACTGCAACTTTTGCGCATCATTTAGAAGACTCTGTTGCAACTACCAACGTTGAGGTCGAGGATGTGGATGCCGCCGTTCTAAATTCCACAGATGAGCCATGCGATTCGACCAAAGGTAAACAGGGCGGCCTCGATATCTTACCTGTGTAGTAGGGGCATTGGCGGCGCAGCAGTACGTTTTCCCGCCGCCGCAATTGTTCACAAGACCGAGGTTACAGACTAAACCTATAACCTTGTCGCAGCAGATCTGTTTCTGGTTGTTGTTGCACTTGTCTCCGCCTGAGCCTGGAGCTGGACCTGGACCTGGAGCTGGGGTGTGGTTTGGGTTTGGGGGTGGTGGGTTGTCGTAGGGGGCTGCCATGACGGCGGCGGCAAGGACGAGGATGGCAGCGGTGAACTTCATTTTGAAAGGTGAAGGGGGGTGTTGAGAAGCGTAGAGACAAGTGAAAGTGTAAGAGCAGAGGGAAAAGTTGTAGCAAACTTGCGTGATGTGGGAAACCGAGTGCTTGATGAGGAGATTCAGGACCAGGGTAGGGAGGATATCCAGGGCTTTTTATATTCAAAAGCCGGAGGGCATTGGGCCCTTGGAAATTGAACAGTTTTTCCTCTGCCCTTTCCGGGAGGTGGCGTAGTTGCCGCCGACGTATACGCACATGTTACGCCCACCTGGCACATTTTGGTGTTTGTTGGGAGTAATTTTCCGTTGGGCCTGCACGGCATCGAGCCTTGTCGGACCTAGTCCTATCGAAGCATCGACAGTAATAGTTTAGTGCCTATTCCAGCCATGTATTGTCAAATTTTGCAACATGGAGGTTAAGGCTGCATTGTCCCAGGTGGAGTAGACGTCTCCTGTCACCTGAAGTTACAAGTCTCTTTCCTATGATACTTAGACGTGCCCGAGGAACTAGAGCATAAATGGTGTCAGGAAATGGCTAATTCGGTCTACGTGGTTGAATTACGAGGTCAAACAGGGCGATGACAAATGAAGACCTGGACTTGAAGCGCGCGTGCCCCCCCAGGCCTTCGGCTTGTCAAACATCTAGTTCATTTTATCTTGACCGATCGACGGTCCGGCATTATAGTACTCTTCTGCTACAGAAATGGGCTTCATAGAATCTCAAAGGCCACATATTTTATATGAGCATCTATGGTTTGGAAAGACAGATCATGTCGGTAGATGTTGTAGATTCGACGGTTGCTAGCTGGAAGGGACATGTGGAATCACATTGCAGCATCAATGTCTCATGACAACTCGTGGTAACCAAAAAGACTATTCTCCACTGTTCGCGAGCAGCCGAACGTGTGACGCGTACGATTTCCACGATGTATCTCCAGCGGTTGACAACTCGGTCCAAAGGGATAGTACTACCTTGTTGCCTTGACAAAATAAGACCATGGCGTTTAAAACCAGCCACCAGGCGTAAGGAGTTGAAGCTCCCGCCAAGGTCCATCTGCCGATGATGCTTTGCTTCTGCCCCTGAGCGGGGAAACGAAGACCAACTCATCAGAGAGACATTCAAGGCTGATCTAGACGTATCAAAACATGAAATGAAACGTCACTCCGGGGTGGGTCGGTAGATGATCACCGGCTCTAGGCTGCACTTACTGTCTCTTCCTGCCAATGAGACAGTAGGAGTACTAATTGTTGGCTGTAATACTCCGTGCTTCAGGGGAATTTCGCTCAGCGTCTTTAGACACTAGCTTGCGTCTTGGCTCTCGATCGGATGATCGGCAAGTCGCATGCGCTCTTGTCTGTTGCTTGCCGCGTTTACCAGCCACGCGTGTAGTAGAAAACACTCGACACTCACCACTCACTTACACGGAGGGCGTGTCTCCTGTTTTCCGCCACCCCTTGCTAGCACCTCGGAAGACGCCTATGCTTTGAATAGTTGCTTCGCCGCTCCTAATATCCCACTGTTAACCGGGTCTTGATCTGCTCGTCTCCGTCCGGCTCAATGGGGCGGCACGTCCCTCCCGCAGAAGGCTTCCCGATATTGTATTTGCTCATCCACAAAGTCCAATACGAGTGGGTCGGAGATTGAGTCCACCGGTTATCCCTAGACCTGAACTCCTGGAGGCTGGGAGCCAGAAATAAACAGAATGCCAGGCTGAAGTGAGATGAAGTCATGAAGCTGCTCAGTACGGAGTAGTGGCGTTCTCTGGAAGGGAACATCTCCCACCGCAGCATGCTACTTGCTTCATTCGATTCTTTTCCATGATTGCAGTTAACATCCCCTCATTAGCCAGGTACGACGGTATTGGATCTTGGACGTCTTTGCAGACTCAATGACGTGGACGTGGGGATGCACCGCGTCTCAGTGCGACCTATTGGGGACTTGCTACATATGTACCCAGTTAGACTGACAGACTAAGGGGCAGGCCAAAGCTCGATGAGGCGCTGGCAGCTCGTATTACCGCGTTAGCAAGGTCGAGAACCAATCTTGTCTTGAGCCATGATACAATGGACACATGCAGGTTGCCTGCTTGCGATACTGAGACACGCTAACTCGCGCGACAACTAAATCAAAACAAGACATGTGAAAGTATCAAGTAAAGTCGGAACTAATAAAGCAGCCAATTAGGCCGAGCAACAAGAGGCAAAGAATGTGAAAAACACAAAAAAAAGGAGACGCACTTCACAGAATAAGTGGTGCAAAAATTCAATAAAAAAATGTGACACCTGAGGGATTCGAACCCTCGCCTATTACTAGACCGCGAGTAGGGACAACCGGATGGTACCGGTGGAACACCTGAACACGGCGCCTTAGACCACTCGGCCAAAGTGCCTCGGTTTATTGATTGTGTCTGAGGTCATCTTATTAATAGATATATAGCCTTGACATATGACGCCCTTTATTCCGAGCAATTCAATCGCTCCATCGATCTCTGAGTTCAAGATAATTTTTCTCCGACAAAACGCAGCAACCCATCAGCCGTCCATCCTCACACCTTTTACCGTACCCACTTTACCCGCACATGCTTCGCAATTCAGATTCTATTTCTCATTTGGCCAGCCCCCCACATGACAATATGTGCAAGACCGGCTTTTGGCCTTACCCTTACCTGTGCCGACTGACGAATTCACGATGGCGTTTTACCCTAGGGGCATTACAAACACTCTGTCAACAACCCTTTTGGCTTGTTTCTTCGCCATAGGCCTACCTGGATTCTGCAGGTCATCGTCACACTACATGATTTCTGACGTGGTGGCATTGCAATCCACAAGTAAAAAAATCGACAGCCGCCGCACAGTTTTCACTTGGCGGAAACCAAATGGTTGACGACGTTCAAGCACATGGCCACCGATTTCCGTCATATCCTGCATTTCATCCCGTGTTCAAGGTGCTTCACCGGCAACATACCATCTTGGCCATGGTCCCTGTTAGACCCTACCCACATCCTATGGTGAATATATTCTTCATTGCGCTGAGGAAAGGGGCAGTTCACAACGATTGCTCAAGGCGCTACCAGGTCGCGGAATCAATACAATATGCCAAGGCCTCAAGACAACAAACACCACCCAGTTAATCAAATACATCCATGCAATAACGTTCCTTCCGGATTCTCTCGAAATGCCCAACCGCCTCTTCTTCAGTAACCGGCTCCCCGGCCTTCTCGTACTCCTCCATGACAATCTTGACCAACACGCCCTTGACCCCCTCCGCCATCTTCCCAGAGCCACAGACGTAGAACCTGGCTCCCTTCTCCCACATATTCGTGATTGACCCTCGTTCATGCCAGATGCGGTCTTGAACATATGGGCACCCGCACGACGCTTCCTTGTCTCCGCTGTATGCTCGGAAGACCTTCACAACCCCGGACTTCTCCCAAGCATCAAATTCGTCTCGGTACAAATCGTCTGACAAAGGGTTGCGACATCCGTAGAATAGGACAGCCGGGGCGAGACTTCTGCCGCTTCCCTGAAGAGTAGCACGTTCTTGAATGAATGCCCGGAACGGTGCAAGTCCCGTGCCTGCGCCGATGCACACTATCGGCGTTTCTTCCTGGTTCTCCGGTAGGTGGAAGCCCGACTGGGCTGGCCGCACTGATACCTGTATCTTCTCACCTGGTTCCAGAGAGGAGAGGTATGAAGACGCCACGCCGATGAAGCGTCCCGTGCCGGACACGGCCGACTCGTCGACAACGCCGTACGTCAGACTGACCTTTGTGGGATCGAAGAGCGACGAAGACGAAACCGAACTTGTCGAGAGTTAGCATTTACCCGCTGGAAAACCGGTACAAGATGCACGGAAACTCACTACTGTCGTAGTCGCATGGGGGGCAACATTTGAAGGAATTCGTGGAACGGCACACACAAGGCAGGGAACTTTTCCAGCACGTCCAGCACGGAAAGCCGCCCTGTTTTGACTACCGTGTCGAATTCCTCACTGGCCAGCCTTTGCAATTGCGCAATCTCATCGCTTTCCTTGTTCATCTCGCACAGGTGGGCGAGGTCCTAGACAAGTCAGGTATTTTTCCTACAGATACCATTCTGCAGTGGAAATGGGCTACTTACTCGTTTCGTAGCAATCTGGCCAAGTTCGACGTACGAACTCAGAATTTCCGCCACCGGAAGACTCATGCCTGTAGGAAGCGTCGTTGGCGAAGAGGACGAGATGGTAACGTAGGCATCTCGTGGAAAATGAAAGCGCCGCAGGGCTCGCGACACGCTCTCCTTGGGGTTGTGCGGCAGAACCGCCAAGTAATCACCCGCGGAATACGGCATATTGGCCGGCAGTCGCAATTCAATGTGCCGCTTCTCCTGGCTGCCGCCGCTTTGGTCGACGAGCCGCCGTGCCGCGACAACAGTGGCCTCTTCGACGCTCTGATGCAAGACGGATGCCCTTGGCGTCGAGAAACTGAGCGCCAGCCCGGGGGCGGAGCTGGTGGCGGCATCACTTGGACGAGCGAAGCGTTCCAGAATAGAGGGCCAGAGAACGTCATCCTCCCAAGCTTCAAAGTCGGAAAACATGTCCCTGTCTTTGGCGTCGGTGGAGTGCAAGGGACCAAGTCTTGAAGCGCCGAGCCTTTCTAGAGTCGAGTCGATGAGCTTTGGGACTTTCTGGAACGTATGAACCCAGTCCGAGTGACCTTTTTTGCGGGAGTTAGCATCGGCGTTTTTGGGGCGCTGACATCCAAAGCGGTAGTCACATACCACATCCGTACACTGCGTACGAGACATGCTTCATCGCACCGGGGTCCAGAGTCTGGATCCAATGGGTGAAATGGGCCGCGTTGTGCGGAGGCTCGCCTTCGTACGACGATGTTATGATGATTACGGGAGTGCCCTCGGGCATGGACCCTCGAATGGTATCCAGGGCATCGACGGATGACCTGTAGCCCTTGGCGGCGGCCGAGCTCGCCAGCCGCTGCGCCATGAACTGGCACGTCCCGGCATTCGAC